CATGCGTTGCGAACAACGAACATGGCGTTATGGCGAAAAATTTCAAAGCCGAATTTACCTACTAAACAACAGTGCTCGAATTCCAGAATCCTGTGTCAGTTCAGGATTCGAAAAAAATCCCTCATATGTTTGATTTTGTGATCAAAGAAAATCGAGATGCTCCTCAGGACTTTGAGTGATCTCCCGCAAAATCCGGCCGTGGTATTTATTTAAGGTTAAAAGAAAAATGTAAGAATGATGATGGAAAAATATAAGAAAGGATGATGGGAAAGGAAAGAAAAGAAGGAAGGGAAAAAGAAGTATTAAATTAGGTAAGAAATGTTTTGGTCCATGGCTTGTTGGCTCGAAATCACCTCTGACAACAGCGGCAAAAGCAGAAGTAATAGCTATCATTTAAAATGTGAAAATTCCCAAGAATTCCTCTCTTCTAGGCACAAATATTTAAGGTTGCAAGGGTGGTATAATGACGAATAGATATAAGTGAATATGGAAAGTAAAGTGAAAGAAAAAAACCCAAACGCATTCAGAAATAGCATTATAAGAAATTTTGAGAAAAAAAATCAAAAAAATCAAAATTTGGGGAATCAAAGATCAAAACTTTATATGTGTTGTATTCTAGTAATATCACTAACATGGGATACCCGCACTGATTGCCCGAAGAACTACTAGTTATTGTTACTGCGGTATTTTTTTTGGCGTTTTTCTACGTGTTCGTTCTGTGAGCTTTAATGTAAGATGTGCTCATTATTTCTTGTATGATTACTAGGTTCTGAATAAAAATGATTTACAAAGATTTCTATGGTACCCCTATTCGTTGACTACATTCGCTGCAAAAGAAATTATTATTATCATTATTGTCACTATTATTATGATTATTATAACTATCATTATTATTACTCTTATAATTGTCACTGTCAATACTATTATCGTTATTATTGCCCACATTATTATCATCGTTATTATCATTACTATTATTATTTTTATTGTTGCCATAATTATTGTCATCATTATTACTATTATTGTTCCTACTATTACTGCTATTAACGTCACCATTATTGTTATTATTATTATTATTGTTATTATTATCATTATTATTATTATTGTTATTATCATTATTATTATCATTATTATTATTATTATTATTATTATTATTATTATTATTATTATTA